TGATGACTCGGAGTAAATGTGGGGTGTTTAAACCCAAAACATATCTAGGGGCTGCTGTTGATGATGTTCCATGCAGTGTACATGAAGCACTCAAGTCACCATATTGGAAGGCAGCTGTTCTTGAAGAGTACAATGCCTTACAACGCAATGGGACTTGGGAGTTAACCAAACTACCTGAAGAGAGAAAGCTGATTGGCTGTAAATGGCTTTTCAAGGTCAAGAAAAATCCTGATGGCACCATCCATCGTTACAAGGCACGACTGGTGGCCAAGGGATTTTCTCAGATTCCTGGATATGATTTTAGGGACACATTCAGTCCCGTAGTCAGGTTCAACACGTTGAATGTTATACTGTCATTGGCTGTAACCAACAACTGGACCATAAGGCAAGTCGACGTGAACAATGCCTTCTTGAACGGTGACCTTCAGGAGGTGGTCTTCATACAGCAACCACCCGACTTCGAACAGAATGCCCTTGATGGAAGCAAACAGGTGTGTTGTCTGAAAAAAGCGTTGTATGGATTGAGGCAAGCACCAAGGAGCTGGCATACTAAGCTACGAGATTGTCTGGTGAACATTGGGTTCAAGGAATCAAGAGCTGATGTATCCCTGTTCATTAAGAAGGAGGGCCTGCACTATGTGTACTTGCTCGTTTACGTTGATGATATCATCATCACAGGTCACTCGAGTGCTAGAGTCGATGAAGTAGTACGGCTACTGAGTGAAAAATTCTCCCTGAAAGATTTGGGGCAGCTCGCGTACTTTTTGGGAATTAAAGTAAAAAGAACTGGTGATTGTCTCGCACTTTCACAGAAGAAGTTCATTATGGAACTCCTTGAGAAAGCTGGAATGTTGAAAGCTTCTGCAACACCAACCCCTATGGTAGCAGCCACCAAGTTACGCAGTGACGATGGGGAACTTATACCCGATGCACACTTCTACCTCAGCATCGTTGGAGGGCTATTATACGTGTGCCATACAAGGCCTGACATCGCCTTCTGTGTAAACAAAGTTGCCCAGTTCATGCATGCTCCACGACAATCTCATATGGCAGCAGTTAAGCGAATCCTGCGGTACCTCGCTGGTACAATGAATTTTGGCTTGACGTTCACTGCTGCTGGTGCTAGTGTGAAGGTGGCTGCCTTTGCTGATGCTGACTGGGGAGGCAACCTCGATGACAGGAGGTCAGTATCCGGGTACAGTGTGTTTGTTGGGAACAATTTAGTTGTTTGGAGCTCAAAGAAACAAAAATCCGTCTCTAGGTCCACCATGGAGGCAGAGTACAAAAGCGTCGCCGATACAGCTGCAGATGTGGTATGGGTTGGAGCCTTGCTGACTGAGCTCGGTATATGTCAAAAAGAAGAGCCTGTCATATGGTGTGACAACACCAGTGCTGTTGCTCTCAGTGCCAATCCTGTCTACCACGCCCACACCAAACATGTTGATCTAGACATCCACTTCGTGCGCGAAAAGGTTGCAGCCAAGTTAATGAGAGTCAACTATGTTCCTGCTGCTCATCAGATTGCTGATGGGTTAACTAAGCCACTGGCACGGAATGCCTTTGAAGAGTTTCGCGCCAAGTTGTGCGTGAAACTGTGCTGAGAAGAAGGAGAGGAGAGAAAGCAGGAAGAATGTTGAAGTAAGCCAGCAGTTATTGTTGCACGCTCGTGGAACGTTCTAGTGCCTTGTGCGAACAGTCCTCTGCTTGTGAAGCTACAGCAGTTATTGCTGTTAGTCGGTTAGAGTTCTGTTAGAGTAGTTATCGTGCAGTTAGTCTTGTGCAGTCTTGTTAAAAGCTGTAATGTACTAGCTATATAAAGGATGTAAAGAATGATCTTAAGGGAGATGAGAACCTTATCTTTTCAAGTCTCCTGGTGAACGCCTGGTTATCTGAATCTTTCAACACGCACCACAGAAAACCAATAATGATACGCGTTTCTGTGTCGTTATCTGCATGCCAATCAATTACTGAATGAACATTTGCAAGGGATGAAGGGAGAGCAAGCCAAGACATTTGCCATGATTAATTAATTAATTAATTCAGTGAATTTATGAATTTCCGGACCTTACTCTTCTTTGTCCATAAATTATGAGCACTATCATTACCCAAATGATGGGGATAGAGCCTTTTCTATTAGATTATTGTTTTTGAATGTAATGATCGTCAGCCACAAGTCAAATCAAATGAAGGCTAATATTTAGGGTAAATATATACATTTGGCACATAATTCTAACTTCAATGTTTAATTTGATATTTTTTTTCTAATTAATTTTTTTGATTTAAATCGATATTTAAATTTGATTTAATAATTTAAATTGGTTTAAATACGTGATTTATCATAAATAGCAATTGTAAAAATAAACTAAGTTTAGGTAGCGATTTAAACTAATAAACCAAATTCATATACCTAATTGTATAAAAGTTTCTTTTATACTATTAAAAGATGAAATCAAACATCATTTTACGATCTACGTTCAGGATTTATAGTTGTTCCTCCCGATAATATTATCTCTAAAGTTCTCACATTGATTCTATCTGAGGGATTACAATGTGCCTCATCACTTCACTCAACATTTGTTGGTATTAATATACATTCTATTAATTGAATTTTAAGGTTCGATTCAATACATAGCTTTTTTTTGCCTAATTAGGTACATAAACTTTTGGCTTCAATGTTTTATTTGACAACTAACCTTTTTTTATTCAATTAGATACCTAAATTTGGGTTTAGGGTTCAAATTAACATATAGACATGGGTTTTTTTAGTTCAAATTGATTAAAAATATAAGTTTTTGTCTAAACAAAAAAAAGTTCAAGTTTCAATTTGAACCAATAAATCAAATTCATGTACCAATTAGAACTAAATAATTAAATTCAGATACCTAATTGAACAACAAAACTTAAATATCAAATTGAACTTTAAAGACAAATTCATATATATAGACACACACACGTATGTATGTATGTATTTGATGTCATGCAGAGGGAAATTATTTAAGAGAATTTTTTAAATAGTCTTATGTGATTATAAGATAATATCTATTCATAATCTTTTTTAATCATTGATAACACATTACACCTGACAACCGTAACTACTCGAACACAAGACCTCTACGAAGAATAATATTCTCCTTAACCAGTGAGGTCACTTGATGAGTTATATGGAAAGAAAATCTTATATTGTGTCGGTCTGTATGGATGAATAGAGAGTGCGGCATGGAATTTTAGAGGGAGATATAGGAATAGCAACGGCATTATGGGACTGGAATAATTTAGTTTGGTGGATGATGCACATCATAAAAAGGAAACTTGAAATCAGTCCAACAAATCCAAGCGAAGTAACATCTTGTTGACACACGTTTACGTACAACCACGAATTCCAACGGCATACTACACTCAAATGACGAAATTACAGCGTCGTCTTTAATTTCTTTCTGAAACATTGCAAGATCGAATTTTATTATCATTTTTGGTTGCTTTCCTGGTTGTAAAGGCTTCTCCTTAATTAATCCGGACCGTCTCGGATCGTACATATAACTTTGGTGGATAAATCTCTCAGCATGAATTTCTTGCATACACAATGACTCGAACTCATATATTTTTTTGCTCAGCAATCAGAAGTTTTTATTTAAAATTCATAGGATATCCCCAACTTGAGCCTCATTAAAAACCCCCCTAATCCTAAATGGGGGAAAAGAGTGCTCAAAATTGAGAAAAACACCAAAGCTCATAAAATGAATTACAGGAAATGTAGATGAAGCACAACTTAAACCAAGATTACCCCACCTAACCAAAGAAAAAAAATAGTCTCCACAATAACCAACCCCTAACCATCATTAGAAAAAAATCCTAATAACCTCCATTTCGATCAAATTAACATTCAAACTAGGTACACAATAAAACTGCTAAGATACTCCCTTTCTATATATCACCAGCTTGCCTTGAACAAAACTTTTCTCTTCGAGCCCATCTTTACCAGGTAATCTGCCATATTATTAGTGATCCTAGGAGAGAACGCAAACTTTATCTCAGATATCTTCAGTGCATTAACATCAATTCCCTGAAAAATTAACCCCCACCTCCATGGTCGAGCTAAGGCATTTTGTATCCAGTTCAGTACTACCTTAGAATCAGATTCAACAATCAAACCAGTCTTCCCACACCAACAAGATTCAACAAACACATCTAATGCAATTGTGATAGCTACAAGCTCCGCAAAATCTTGATTGACCTCTGTTACCGGCCCAAAAAACATTGCTACTACATAACCTTCTGCAGTCCTCAAGATTCCCCCACACCCTGCTGACTTATTCGTTGCTGAGCCATCCACATTGAACTTCATCTGACCCGACATTGGCGGCATCCAGCCAGACTTGGGACGTTGCTGTACGCATAGACCCGCTGACTCCCCTAGCCAATCCCACCAACGTTTCTTGTCTAATACACTAAAAACCTTCAACGCCTTACACCAAGCAAAAGCTCTCATCTTCACATATACAAGCAGGTCTTTGAGTTTCGTGCTTTTACTCTTAAAAACTAGATCATTCCTAGCCAACCATAGGCTCCATAACGCCGCTGCAAAGCTTACAAATCAAGCCAATGCTATAGATTTTGTCCACCTAAACTGAAAACAAAACTCCAAAATTTCATCCACTGTCTGCAAATTAAAGCCTGGAATATGCCACCACCTGTAGAAAACATTCCAAAAAACAAACCATAAAAATACAAGACACAAACAGATGATTCACATCCTCTTCAACATCTCCACACCATGGGCACAATCGTTGAGCATCAAACAACTTAATCCCTCTGTTAAAGAGGAATACCTTAGTTGGAACTCTGTTCAATTTAAGCATCCATAGAAAATATTTCACCTTCGGAGGGACTTTTAGGCTCCATATTTTATCAAAGTTAAACGAACATACATCTTCAAAATACTCGTCACTGAGGAGTAAATCGGTCAATTTCTTAACCTTAAATAAGCCATCAGTCTCATCCACTCATACAATCCGATCAGCCACAGACGAATTAAAACTCACATCGTCCACTTCGCGTTTTATAATTCGAACAGTAGTTAATTCCCTATCAAGCAATTGTCGCTCGAACAAAGCTGTTGTATCTAAGTTTTGCCATTCACCTGCAGAAATCATATCACACACCGTAATATATTTCCTCAACGCTAACCTGTAAATACGAGGATATCTTGATCTTAAAGCACTTTCCCCAAACCACACATCCTCCCAAAATAAAACTGATTTCCCATCACCCACTACCCACCTGAATGATTCTCCACTCATCCATTTAGCTGTACCTTCACTAGACAATTTATTCACAATCCCTCTCCATGTTATCGAAGCTTTCTTGATATCTCCAAGACTAACCAACCAAGGCAGATCACCTGAGCCATATTTGTGACTAATTACTGACCTCCATAATGCCCCTCTTTCAGTTGCAAATCTCCAACCCCACTTAGCAAGTAACGCCATATTCTTTGCCTTTAGATTGATTATTCCAGCCCCACCTTTCTTTTTCGGACAACACAATCTACCCCAGTTCACCCTTGGAAATTTATTTTTGTTTCCATCATAACCCCATAAAAAACCTCTTCTAATCTTATCAATTTTTGATACAACCGCTTTTGGAACATGGAATATCGGCATATAATATAACGGCAGCATTGACAACACTGAATTAATAAGAACCACTCGCCCAGCAAAAGATAGCGTCCTGCTTTTCTAGCCCACCAATTTAGCTTTAAACTTTTCAATAATAGGTTCCCAAGTCAAAATTCTTCTGGGATCTGCACCTAACGGAATTCCCAAATATTTAAACGGCAATGCGCACACAGAACAACCGCCCAAACGAGCTAGCTGTTTTAATTTATCTTCTTCAACCTTCACCCCTGCTAAGCACGACTTCCTAAAATTAATGCTTAATCCCGAACCCAATTCAAAGCATCTCAATATTCTCTTAACATTGATCAGACTACTTTGATCTGGACGAATGAACAATATCGTATCATCCGCGAATTGCAAATGAGAAATACTTCTGTTTAGTGCCACATTTTCAATACCATCAATGTATCCTTTACGAACAGCTCCTTCTAGCAAAATATGAAGAGCCTCAGTTATCATTATAAACAAAAAAGGGGACAATGGATCACCCTACCGTAACCCTCTGTACATTTTAAATTCTTTTGTAGGAGACCCGTTTAAAAGAACAGAAACTCTAACTGTCGAAATACATTCCCAAATCCAGCGTCTCCATGTGCTTCCAAAACCCATATTATGCTGCACATAGTCTAAAAACTCCCAATAAACACAATTGTATGCCTTTGCAAAATCTAGTTTTAATATCAATCCACCTCTCCCTCCCCTCTCTATATTCAATGAATGAATGACTTCATTTGCCACTAAAATTCCATCGAAAATCTGCCTACGTGCTATAAATGCACATTGAGTCTCACTAATCACTTTTCCAATCACACCTCTTAATCTCCTTTCTAACACTTTAGCATTTATTTTGTACAAATTGCTCACTAACGAGATCGGTCTATATTCTGAAATTTCAGTCGGATTAGCCACCTTTAGAATCAATACTAAAAAAGATGAATTAACATTCTTTCCCAATTTTCCATTCCTATAGAAACTGTCCATGGTCTTCATCAGATATGCTTTTACCCACTCCCATAATTTCTTAAAAAATACTATGTTGAAACCATCCGGACCCGGAGCTTTGTCCTCCCCACAACTCCACACTGCATCCTTTACTTCTTCAATAGAAAAGGCCGCTTCCAACCCTTTTATATCCACCCTTGATAGTTGTTTGAACGACAAATTGATCTCCGTCTTCCACTCCTTTTCCTTGCGTCTGAAGTGGTTGCTAAAGAAATTAAACACCTTAGCTCTAAGTTTGTCCGGCTCGACTGCATCGACCTCTCCCAAATTAGCTCCCAATATCAAACGCTTTTTACTCCGAATCTTAACTGCTCTATGGAAAAACGCAATGTTTTCATCTCCAAATTTCAGCCAGTTCGATCTTGATTTCTGACGCCATATATCCTCATTTTCCTTCAATATATCCCATAGCCTCCTTGTACAACTCAGTAGTTCCTCTCTTTCTCGGACATCTAACCCGTCAGCATCTCCTTTCATATCTAACTCATTAATCCTCTTCTCCATTCTTTTTGCTTCAATATCAACATTCCAATAGCTCTATAAATTTCATTTCTGAAGTGCTCCTTTCACCCTTCTTAATTTCACGCTTAAATCTACATCACCTTCTTCTTCGTGCTATAATGTCTTCTTAATAATCTCAATACAACTCTCCTGATTCAACCAACAATTAATCAATTTGAACGGTCTAGGCCCCCAATCCACCACTTCATTCCCCAATAATATAGGGATATGATCCGAGACTGTTCTCGGTAAACCAAAAAGAGTTGCATCACAATTTTCATTAAACCATTCATCCTCAACAAAAATTCTATCTAAACGACTCTTTCTATTTCCCGGTCCAAACCACGTAAAATTCTCCCTGATAAAGGCATGTCAAATAGATTACAAGCCTCTATGAACAAATTGAACTCTACAATCTCTGTTTGTCTATAAGAACACCCGCTTCTCTCGCTGTTACTTCTTATTGCATTGAAATCACCTGCCATGAACCATCTATTCTTATTTTTCCTCATAACTTCCATAATTGCACTCCATACTATGACTTGTTCAGATACTTCACAAAGAGCATAAATGTTCATAACATAATATATCAAATCATGTGGAGCGTACTTCCCTTCTATCAAAATAAATCTATCTGTAATTAAGCTATCCAGGATCTGAATCTACTTTTATCCCAAACAGACAGATACCTCCAGATTTTCCCATTGCTTTCGAGAATCTAAATTCAAAGTCATCATCACACCAAAAAACTACTAATTTCAGTATCCTTAAAATCCTCTTTCTTAGTCTCTTATAACAATACCATCTCAATTCTATAAACCAACGCCTCCTCTGAGCCTTTAAACTGAATACCCAGCTCTCTGCCAATTTGTAAAGTTTTCATCGCTTCCAGCTTTTTCCTCTGCCAACGTTCTTGGAGATCCGAATCATAGAAGGACATTCCTTCAAGTTCAGTCAACTCTTCCTCACTTAGCTCCTTCTTATGGTTTTTCTTCACACGGCCGCTTCTATTCTTTCTTTGGGTAACACCATATTTTTCTTGAATTTTTTTGATAGAACTGTATTTCTTAATTTTTCCTCCCTTTGCTCTAAAGTTCTGCTTAGGTTTGGGAATAAAAATATCATCGCTCGTTTGCAAGCAGAGCCCCTTTTCCCATTCTTCCCCCTCCTGTCCCAAACTGGGCTTACTTACCTTCGGATCTACCGAGCACCCGTCCAATTGATCCTTATTGGATCATTTCATAGGAAGGAAATTTGTAAGGCCCATATAATACGTATCCTCCGCCGCCTTTGAACCTAACCTCCCTTCCCATAGAGACAAATCCTTTAAATTCTCATTTATACCTTCATTATCATCCACCGCCTTAAATAGTAACATGCGGTCATCTTCTGCCACCTCCACCTCGTTTTCCACCTCCACCTCGTATTGCTTTTGTGATTTCCCAGAACAAACATCATTTACCCTCTGACCCACGATTGCTTCTTCCCCTATGTTTCTCTCTACGTCTTCCATCCCCGACATACAGCCGCCTCTTGATATGTTCCCCATGCACATTAAATGACTATCATCTTCCTCATGCCACATCTCCGACTTCTCCTCCTCCGATGGTTCCATACTCCTAACTGCCGACGAACTCGAATCATCGGTGCCTAAATCAACTTTTGCTTCTTTCTTATGACTGCTCGTATCACTTCTACTAGTAGTCTGTTCCACAATTCTGATTTTAAAAACTTCCCTTCCTGCCTCCAAATCAACCACCTCATCAATCAAATCCTTTCTTCTAGTTGCTATCAAGACAGTCATCTCCTCACATCCCAATTCCTGAATAGCGTTTTCTCCCATCGCCAAACATTCTCCCCATTGCTCGGATATCCTTTTAAACGTGTTATGGTTCCAACAGTGTAATGGCACACCGATTAATTTAATCCAGGTTACCCTTTCAGACGCTCTGTATTATTCTGTCCAAGGAATAACTTCCAGGAAAACTCCCCGTAAGAACGACCAATTATACTCTTTCATGAACGTATAAAGCTCTTCGTCCACGAATTCTAAAAGGAAATCTCTCCCTCCCAAAAACTTAGTCCTGACCTCTCCCAAGCCCCTTGCACGTAATCTGTCAACCACCTGAGTCGAAGAACATACCGTTGCCATAGTACCTACGAGGCATTTCTGCAACTTTCGAACGACCTCATCATCAATAACCCCCTGTATGGACCTGCTCCTCCTTCTTGTCTGTGTCTCAGAACCTTCTTCTGCAATACTTTTATCGTTAGGTACCCTTGTGGTTGTATTGGAATTTGAAGGACTATTCAAGTCCCCGCTTGGATTCTTTGCTCTATACCTTGCTTCCTTCACTGAAAGTCGATATCCGAACAACCAAAATCCATTAAGTCTTTGCATTGCTCTCTCTCTATCTTCTTTTTTTGAGAATCTCACAAAACCAAATCGCTTCCCCAATTTGTCATTCTTCCTAGCTATGTAAGAACTGAAAACATCTCCATGCCTACCGAATAATTGCCTCAGTCCACTCCAATGATATCTAGGAGGAATGTTCTGCACAAATAGAGTTTGAACCTCGCCTACCTTTCCTGAAGCTTTCTCCGTCGTTTTCATGGGAAATAACAAAAGTACTAGTAATAATCTAACAAAGACTTACATGTTACTTTAAAAAAACTTACTTTAATTTAAAACTTTAATTGCTTGCTTCATAATAAAAACGTGTTACGCATTGACCATTGTTAACATTCTTTCTCGATCAAAAGTAAGATATCGAGAATAATGAAACAAAATGGTTTGTTGTCCAAATCCATGCTTTTAACCTCTTTCTGGTACCAAATTCTCGTATACCATACGAAACCTTTGCCATGCAAAACATCAAAACGCAATCGAGCAAAAAGATGCTATTACTTTTGAGAGGGAGAGAGATTATATTGATTAGGGCTGACGTGGATGAGCGTGTTCCACTTTGATGCAGGGGGATCCGAGACAGATGAAGCTGAGCTGTCAGTTTGCACCTTGATGGGGCTGAGATACCATGAGTTGGCAGATCAGCGCAAAGGCGGGAATTGATTGTGACATGTTTCTCATTGGGGTAGTTTTGAGTGTGTTTCAGTCTTTTGACCATAACTTTGGCTACAAGTGTCAGAATCGCGCATAAGACCCCAATCCGGAAAGCTCTTTTCGACGCGCACGCTCTCCACATTGAGCGACACTCCATGTGGCCTTTTTTTCAACCTCAAATTCTGCCATTTTCCCCTCCGAATCACTAGATTTATATATTTTTTACTATTTATGGTAATATTTCGATTGTCAATTAGGAAGTCAATTTAAATCCGATTTAGGCCCGATTTTTTGGAGATTGCTTATTTTATTTCGAATTTCAATTTAGAGTGATTTTCGGGATTTTGCTATTTTTGGTAAAATTCGAATAAGGACGATTTTTTATTATAACAGTCCGGCTTGTGGACTGATTTCAGGATGATTGGCTTTTATAATATTTTATTAAACTCTAGAGACTTTTTCTCTGGTTTTTGGGCAAATTTTCTCTTGTGAATCATCTGTTGGAGCTAGCCTGCAGGATAATCATTATTCTGTCTGGCGTCACACTTTGTGTGCTTTAACTTATTATTTTTATGTCATCTTAAACAGAACCAAAGGTTGTGTTTACATTACACCTCTCCGGTCACTCTGTAAAGTAAATTAATTCTTCTACTATCTTACAAACTCCCTTTTGGCTGATGTCGTGCCACCCCTTCTCGGCGCGTGTCCCCCACTATCTTAGTATTGAATAATTTTTTATTAACTTATCAAAACATGTGGTGATATCACGTAATTAATTATTAATATATATACGAATCAAGGGATATCACTTTTCAGAGTAACGATTGTTATTTATAGAGGTTTCGGGTTCGAGCATGTCTATAAGTATTGGTGGATGTAAATGGGGTTTTAAATT